TTTCCAATGCAAAAGCTGGCTTTTACCTTTCCAGTTTAGTGCAGTTCACCAAGTGTAAATACCTGAATCTGTTACTACTTAAATATGTCTTCTAGTTTCTAAACGACATTTTTTAAAGTTTATTTTTAAGGGTAGATCTAGTTTTTAAAAACTAAAATTAATTACTCAATACATAAATATGCTTAAAAATCAAATACATGTTAATAACATATACCAATTTTGGTATTGCCTATAAATTATATCATTAAAACCCCCAGTGAGATCTAAAACTATTTAAAGTCACAACACTAAATGAGCCTTTTCCTTTATGTAAATCTAGATCAGAGATACTGCAGCTATCTTAAACAAAAGTCAAAAGAGCCAACATCCTCCAGTTGTTTCAGCCTAAGGTAACAGTTTTTTTTACTTTTTTTTCATATCATACAGAAAAAAGTATATTACAGGATTTATACCCATAGTCTTATGCAAAACTTTTATATAGCAAACTATAGTTTGCACTCAAATACTTAGTCATATAGTAGAGATCTTAAATTGACCAAATTATTTTCTTTCTCAACTATAAATTAGGTTCATATTTATTAAGACATTTAGCCAAAAGGCATGAGACCAGACTTTGCCCAATAATTTCACCTTCAAAACATTTCACATTCTATTATCTTATAAGATAAATAAGACTATTTTCATATACAAGAAATATAATTTAGAGCATGAAACACATTTAAGTATGAAGAGCCTAAGAAATACACCATTTAGATGTGATAATTTCTCACCACATCCTCTACCTCTATATTCCCATAGGGAGCATAGCTTCACCCCACTGCATTTAATTACTCCAGCCTTATGACTTTTTAAATCATTCTATAATACATTTTAATTCATACAGCTGACAAAGAACAAAAGTGAACAGTACAATCAATGTTCAGATCTCAATGCTCACAGTATTATGAATAAAAGAAAATAACGTACACAGGCAAATTAGTCATTAAATCACTTCTCCTTTCTTAGTCTATTATTATGAAGCATACAAAAACTATGAAATGAACAGACAAAATCAATTGGAGGACAGGGTTCTAACATTCAAGCATCCGTGTCTAACCATAACTAAATGATGATGATAGCATTAGCTAAGACACTCTTTCAAATAAGATTAACATCAATAGTGATAGGTAGATAATGCCACACAATGAATATAAACAAACTTCTGTTTTTGAGTTGACAGTCACTTGTCACTTTGCTTAATGAAATTATTTTATTTTAAAAGTTTTGTATATTTAAAAATCCACAAGGCCTAAGCCAGTACCTCAGTAATTATAATTATAGGAGCTTTTAATATCTATCTTTTCTGAAGATTAGGAAGTTAATTAGAGCAGAGATTCTCACCTGGGTGATTCTACCCCCCTCAACACACATTTGGTAATGTCTGGAAACATTTGATTGTCACAACTCAGAGAAACGGTGTTACTGGCACCTACTGGACAGGGCCACGGATGCTATTAAACATACTACAAAGCATAGGGCAGCCCCCCACTACCGAGAATTATCTAATCCATGTATCAGTAGTGACAAGGTTGAAAACCCTGTTGTAGAGAGGTGGGTTTATGTGAGTGTATATTTGTTCCATCTGAAGAGTTTGACCTACACCGTAGTTGTCACAAAATAAGTCTAAAAAGGACTTATTTTATGCTGATTTCTGCAGAAATACTTTACATACAGATGATTAATAAATTAATAAAGCAACAAATATAATGTGTAGTTATTGCCAATTTTTAACAGAAATCTGCAATGAATGAATCCTACTACTAAATTTCAACTTAAGAAATACATCTCTAGTTATGACTTTAAGGCTGTGAACCTAGATAAACAAAACCACCTGGAAATCCTGCCAAACATCTTTTCAGGTTTATTTAATACTACTGACAAAAGACAACCTCGTTTTGTGTCATCTAAGTGGTTACTACACACAATTTAGGTGTAGCTACTATAGCAACGTATAAATAAAAATTAGATGAGTAAATTCCTCCTAGCAAGTTTTCCAACAAAAATTATGCCCTACCTCTCTGGGCAACACTTAGTTACAGACAGAGCCAAACACGGAACTAAAAATACTCAGTGAATCAAACATTGTTTTAAGATCAAGCTACGGGTAGTAACAGTGTAACAACTTCCCAGCAGAAGATACTAAAAATATATACATAAAGCTGAGAACATGGGAATGGTAATTACAGAAAACATCAAAAAGGTCCTCTCTCCTCAGCTATTGCGGAGGATTTTCCCTACCTGTCAAGGTAGCAAAGATGGCAGAGGGCTCCCAGCGCACGTTTATCAGAGTTTAACTGATACAGTAATTCAGAAAAAAAGAATCTCTCCGGACACCATTTTCAAGCCGTCCGGGCTGCACATGAGCACTTTTAGGTGCGTAGGGTCCTCCCTGAAAGCGCAGACTTACCTGGCAAGAAACTCCGACCAAGTGGCTGTGAGAGACTGAAGTCTGGACGTGCGCTGTTGGGAGAATCAACTCCTTAGAGCAATCTGGGCATTTGTTACTCACTTTCTGCGCCTTAAACACAGTGGTCCCCAACTCTACACACGTCACGGCTGCGATTGGGCCAGCCGGGCCGAAGAGGCTGTGGGGCTGCGGGAAGGAAAACCTCTGCCCCAGCTGGGGAGGGCCTGATGGGGAAGCATTGGGACAGGGAAAAGAATCTGAGCCGGGACAGTGCCAACAGGCCTGAGTGAAAGGGATGTCACCCACCTGCGCGACCTCTTCGCCATCCTTCAAGTACCGCATAGGCGCGGGCTGGGCGGGGACGCAGTTAAGCCTCCTCCAGCCTCAAGCGAATGCTCCTTGTCCCCGACCCTCCAAGCCGTTTCCCTCGCTCCCTCTCCGAGGCGACCGAGAGTGGAACGCAAGTCCCCCGCAGGGCAGGACGGAGGGGCGGACCGCGACCCGCCCCCGGCCCGCAGCGCCGCTCCTAGCCCCGGTCCGGCCCGGTCAGGGATGCCCCCAACATGTCAGGAGGCGCGCTCCCGCCCTCCGCCGGCCCCTCCCGCCGCCTCTCAGCCTCTACTCAGTGGTCCCAGCTCAGCTCTGCGGCGGGCGCCGACCCCCGCCCTCACCCCGCAGCGAGCAGCTCTGCAGGGCTCGCAGCCTCCTGCAGGGTTTTGTCCGCACCGCCGAATCTCGCGCCCAGCCTCCCTCAAGAGCCGCCGTTTGAATCTGCGCACGCGGCCCCGAACCTCATTGGCTGTAGCGGCCGCACGCGGGGGGACGAGGGCGGGGCGGGGAGAGCGCGCGCGACTGGGGGCGGGGCTGGGGAGCTGGAAGTCGGGACTGGAACTCGCGGGAGTCGTGGAAGGAGCTGGGAGTCAGGGGGTGGGGCCGCAGGGCGGGCTCGCGGGTCTTCCCTTGACAGGACTCGGAGCGCGCCGAGCGCCGCACTGCGCGGGGCCTGCTGGGAAAGCGAGTTCCGGTGCTCGCTTAGAGGCGGGTCCGGAAGCTGCGGCGCGAGTCCAAACTTCCCGGGGCTCGCGGACACGGTCCTTGGGGGTTGGGCGGCCTCGCCAAGGCACGTCCCCGCACCCTCCTTTCAGCCACAGCTCCTCGATTCCTAACTCCTCGTGTGTATCCCGCCTCGTTAGTTAGGAGGCGCGGTCTTCCGATTTGAGACAAATCTAACCATAAAATTTGCGCGGCCGTTATTGTTTAAGCAAAAATGTGAGCTATTTTTTGCCTAGACATCAGAGCTACTGGAGTAGCGAAGACTGTGGTAGGAAACCGAATATCAAGAATGAGCAGGAGTGACAGGTGAAATAAGTTTTTAGCTGGAGTCGTTCTTGGCACAGAAAAAGGAAATAAGCCAAGTCTGCGTCCAGTCTTCGCAGTGCTTAATCCCTTAGCTCGCTGTACGGGAAATAATGGAACCCGGATCCAGAAGAACAATGCAGGAAGACAAGAGCGAACTGGAAATTTTGCCCAGATAAATCAGTATGGTAGTCAACTATAGAAGGTGACCTTCCCTCGCAGGAGAGACGGGAGGAGGGGAGAATTGCATGGAAGGAGCTTCCAGCAGTTCGAACTACTTTAGAACAAGTGTAAAACTGAACTGCTGGAATCAAGTAACATTGAAGCAGATTACAGTAACAATTAGAAATGGTAAAGGATCCAAATTTGCAAGGTAACATGCTCTACTGCATAGAGCACTAAACCACATGTTAATATTATAACAAACTTACATTTTGCTATTTTGAAATTTTACGCATCAATTTTTGCAAATCAGAGATGCAGGTGCAAATGTGAATTGAAGAGGAGCTTGCATGCACCACTTTGAAAACTTAAAACGCCTTTTTATAGTTCCGTTTTCTCAAGATATGGGTTCTGGGAAGGTAAAACACCTTTTATATCATTCCTTATTATATTGCTCGTTCAATTTATTTTTAACCTAACTGAGAAAGTAATGTCATTTGAAAACTGATTTCTGATTTACTCCTGAGTCATACATTACTCAACTTATTTATATCCTAACAGGAAGCAGAGTTTCTCCTATATATTAGGCTTTTTGCAGAGAATACTTTTTTAGAGCTCGAAGGCAGTTATTCTAGATTTTGAAAGGGGTTCACAGTCATTTGAATACACACTCGAATGTAATTGAGAACTGGCCTTTTTTTTTTTTAGCAAAACATACATTTTAAAAGAGTTTTTATTCGGAGTATTATAAGGAGCTCTCAAAACAGCTATGAGGTGGGGGAAGCAATGAAAAGATGAGCAAAAGATTAGAGCAGACATTTCACAAAAAAAGATAGACAAATGGCAAATAAGCCACATGAAAAGACGCTCCACATCATTGATCATTAGAGAAATGCAAATCAAAACCACAGTGAGATACTATCACACAGCTATTAGGAGGAGGGAAGACTGACTATACAAGTGTCGGTAATGGAGAAGATGCTGAGCAAATATAACTTTAATGCATTGCTGGTAGAAATGCAAACGGAACAGACACTTCGGAAAACAAATGTTTATAGTGGTTTTATTTGTAATCACCCAAAACTGAAAACACTCAAAGGGATGTTCTTCTCATGATCACACTTCTCAATCCGCGAGAGTTGTTTTGAATAGTCTGTTAAAGTTTCTCAGGTTTTTCCGCTGGGGTATAGGGGATTGAAAACCAAGGGAAAAATGATGGAGGACAAGTGTTAGAAATTTCTTTAAAAACTATTTTATCTTAAAAACTCATGTAAAGTTTTCTTTCTACTCCATGACAAATATATTCCTATTTTTAATTATAAAAATGATTTTTTAAATATTTTTTAATTTATTTTTTTTAAGTAATCTCTATGAACCCAACATGGGGCTCAAACTCACAACTCTGAGATCAAGAGTCGCATGCTCTTCCAACTGAGCCAGCCAAGTAAACCTAGAAAAATGATTTTAAAAGTATATACTAATTTACTTTCTTACTCCAAATCTTTAAATAAATTGCTTCATTATTATTAAATAAATGAGCAGTAAAGTGCACCATGCTCATCCTTCCCATGACTATACCAACTTATTCTCCACAAAGGCCAAATACTCCGAAGGTTTCCTTATGTTGTTTGAAAAGCTTTTGCTGGCTTAATATAGTACCTGAGAGACAATACTTTTGATAGAGCCATATGTATCATTCCATAAATATATTTTTGTCTGTTCTATTTATTGTAGAATCCCAGTCCCTAGAATAGCAATGCATCAGTATACAATGAGTAAACAAAGGCAAATAATAAGCTCATGAATAAATATGTTCATAAAAATATAAATTAGGGGTGCCTAGGTGGCTCAATTGGTTGGCCATCTGCCTTCTGCTCTGGTCATGATCCCAGGGTCCTGGGATTGAGCCCCACGTTGGGTTTCCCTGCTGTGCAGGGAGCCTGCTTCTCCCTCTCCCTCTGCCTGCAGTTCCCCCTGCTTGGCTCATTTCTCTCTCTCTCTCTCTCTCTCTCTCTCTGTCAAATAAATAGTCTTTTAAAAAAATATAAATTTGAAATACCATTTTATGACTACTAAGGTAGCAAAATATTTCTAAATTCTGTCAACAAACTGAATAATTCCTTGATGTTAGTACTGAAAGTGGTATACCCTTTTGGAAAGCAATACTAAGCAAAAGCCGTAAAGATGTGCATAGCCTATGACAGACATTTTATCTTAATATACCGTAATTTGGGGTGCCTGGGTGGTGCAGTCGTTTGAGTGTCCAACTCTTGGTTTCGGCTTAGGTCATGATCTCGGGGTCCTGGGATCAAGACCCTCATCAGACTCCACACTCGGGGGAGTCTGCTTGAGATTCTCTTTCCCTCTGTCTCTCCCGCTTGTGCCGTCTCTCTCTCTCTAAAATAAATAAATAAAATCTTTTAAAAAAAATACTGTAATTCAATGCAAGCAAAAAAGATGTACTTCAATGCTTATAGTGTTATATTTCATTAAAACCCCAATTGGTTCTCATCAGGGACAATTACAGCCAGTAAAAATAGTGTAATATTAAGACAATGCCATTAAACAGCTGTTACACCACTGGGCCCTTCTAGGTGTTTCACATGCATTCATCTTAGGTAATATGCACAACTTGTATAATTGTAACAATCCTATGGGGTAGGTACTATTATTTTCATCCACTTTATTTTTTTAGAAAAGATTTTATTTATTTATTTGACAGAGAGAGACACAGTGAGAGAGGGAACACAAGTAGGGGGAGTGGGAGAGGGAGAAGCAGGCTTCCTGCAAAGCAGGGATCCCGATGCGGGGCTGGATGCGGGGCTTGATCCCAGGACCCTGGGATCATGACCTGAGCCGAAGGCAGATGCTCAACGACTGAGCCCCATCATCCACTTTATAAATGAGAAAAATAAGGCACCAAAAAGTTAATTTGTTCAAGGGCGTATTTTCATCCACTTTATAAATAAAAAAATAGGGCACCAAAAGGTTAATTTGTTAAAGGGCCTATAGAGGTAGAACCAAGATTTGAATTAGAAACCAAGTTCCCAATCACTTTACTACCCTAACATCCATGAGCATTCAACTACCAGTATAGTATAGATGTACTATAATATGGTATAGAGCGAAGAGCTGGTAGCAGAATTTTATGATTAATATGTTATTTATGTACGTAAGGTCTCAGGGTGTATGTGTATGTGGGTAAGTGTCTAACATAGAAAATGGTCTAGGGACTGCACACCAAACTGTTTAGCAGTGTTTTACTTTGGAGGGAGGGATGAGATGGGGGCAGGGCAGGCTTTAAATCTTTACTCTATGCATTTTTGTATTATTTGACTTTTTTAAAGCATAAATTCTTGTTTATTTTACTTTTTTAATTTAAAAAAATGAACTGGAGGGGCGCCTGGGTGGCTCAGTCGGTTAAGTGTCTGCCTTTGGCTCGGGTCATGATCTCAGGCTCCTGGGATCGAGTCCCGTGTTGGGCTCCCTGCTTCTCCCTCTTTCTCTGCCCTTCCCTCCCCGCCTGTGCTCATGCTCTCTCTCTCTGTCTCTCTGTCAAATAAATAAATAAAATCTTTAAAATAATTAAAAATGAAATAAAAATTTAAAAATGAGCTGAAAATAAAAAGAAATAGCATGTTATATAAAACTTGCCCCAGTATTGATAATGCTAAATAAATATGCTTTGGCAGAAATGATGAAACCATATATTATGTGCTCAATCTGAGAACAAAAATCAGGTTTAGGATTATATCTTGGATACATAAATATCTGTTTCAACCTCTTCCCACCACCAATATATTTTGGTAATCTCTACATTTAGGATACTATTTTAAGTTTGATAGAAATTATAAATAGAAATCATATTGTCATAAGCAGCTATAGAATTCTTAGTTTGGCTTTTAAAGGTAAAAATGAGCGGTTGATCTGCAAGAAAAAAAACTGTAAGAGAAAATATTTTTAAATTTGTCCCTTTTCAGGAGGTGGGTGAGGGGATGGGTTAAATAGGTATTGGGGATTAAGGAGGGCACTTGGTTTTTTTGTGTTTGTTTGTTTTTTAAAGATTTTATTTATTTATTTGACAGAGAGAGACACAGCGAGAGAGGGAACACAAGCAAGGGGAGTGGGAGAGGGAGAAGCAGGCTTCCCACAGAGCAGGGAGCCCGATGGGGCTGGATGCGGGGCTGGATGCGGGGCTGGATGCGGGGCTGGATGCGGGGCTGGATGCGGGGCTTGATCCCAGGACCCTGGGATCATGACCTGAGCCGAAGGCAGACGCTTAACAGCTGAGCCACCCAGGCGCCCCAAGGAGGGCACTTGTGATGAGCACCAGGTGTCATATGGAAGTGTTTGAATCACTATATTGTATACCTGAAACTAATATTACACTGGAATTTAACTAACTGGAATTTAAATAAAACTTTAATATTTTTTAATATTTTTATTTAATTTAATATTTTTTATTTTTATTTTTATTTATATTTTATTTTATATAAATAAATATATTTAATATTTTTTAAATAAAAACTTTAAAAAAATTAAGTGTCCCTATTTCAAACCAATATTCTTTGCTCTACTCTTTTGTAATAGATAGAATAATGGCCCACCCAAAGATATCCATGTTCTAGTTCCCAGAACCTATGAATATAATACCTTAATGGCAAAAGGGACTTTGCAGTTGTGATTAAATTAAGGATCTTGACATGGAGATATTAGGTTGGATTATCCAGGAGGACCCAATGTAATCATAAAGATCCTTAAGAGTGGAAAAGGGGAGCAGGAGAGCCTGACAGGTTTGGAGATGCTATACTGTTAGCTTTGAAAATGGAGAAAGAGGTCATGAACCAAGGAATGCAGGCAGCCTGTAGAAGCTATTAAATAAATCGAGAAAATGGGTTCTCCTCTCAGATTTTAGCTTATGGAGATTCTCTATCAACTTCTTTTTCTTTTTTTTTTTTTTAAAGATTTTATTTATTTGACAGAGAGGGCACAAGCAGAGGGAGAGAGAGGGAAAAGCAGGTTCCTTGCTGAGCAAGGAGCCCGATGTGGGACTCGATCCCAGGATCCTGGGATCATGACCTGGGCTGAAGGCAGCCGCTTAACCGCCTGAGCCACCTAGGCGTCCCTCTCTTTGAATTTCTGACTTCCAGAAGTTTAGGATATTAAGTTTGTATTGTTTTAATCCAGAGTTTGTGGTAATTTGTTACAGCAACATAGGAAACTACACCTTCTTTGAAATTTTGAACATTTTTGGCCTGTGATGATAAAAGTAGTGCTTTCTCTTCAAAAGGTGATCTTTCACATAGTGTTCAAATTTTAGCACTCATTTACAACAGATGAGCCTACTAACTGAGGGTTCAAAATGAAGGATATGAACTCCAGATTGAGAGAGAGGGTACTGAGGGCATTAAACAAGAGAAATTATTTACTAGAATATCACAAAATCCTTAAAGCAAGACTTGCTCATCTGTGGGAAACATGACATGTACGAAGATATGAAGGTATGTGCTTCTTTTTAATTCTAAGCTTTCTACCTCTACTTTAAATTTTGTCACCTTCCACATTATTAGGGATAATATCTTGTTTTTGTTTTTGTTTTCAGCCTCCCCTTCTCTCCTGGCCTAGTACATCCAGGCACTCCCAAAGGGAACAATGAATTTGCAAGATTTTAGGGGAATTTGTGGTTATTGAAAGTCGTTACTGGCATTTAGAATGCCAGTTCTAGGAACAGAGGACTCTTGTAATGTTTGAAAGAGTCCTGCACAAGGAAGAACTATCCTGAGTTCCATTCAACTTTCAACCGGACAGTAATGTAAGTGAAAAAACTGATAATTATTTAAGCCTAGAATCAACTTTTTTTTTAACTTATAAACACAAGTACATAGTGTTGGGTTTTTTTTGCAGTTTTAAAATACACTATTTCCAGGGCGCCTGGGTAGCTCAGTCAGTTAAGCATCTGCCTTGGGCTCAGGGCATGATCCCAGAGCCCCAGAGTCCCAGGATTGAGCCCAGCATGGGCTTCCTGCTCAGCGGGGAGTCTTCTCCCTCTACCTTTCCCCCATGCTTGTGATCTCTCTCTCTCTCTCTCTCCATCAAATAAATAATAAAATCTTTTAAAAATATACACTATCTCCAGAAATGCCAGTACGTAAACCAGGGGAAGATTGCATCTTATTTTGTTCAGACTTAACCAAGAGTTGTTTCCCCATTTTAGAAAATCATATCACTGAGGATAACTCAGCTCAAGATTTTAAGACAGAAATATAGCCCACTGGTGTCTGTGTTTCTAGCTATGGAGTTCATAGTGATTCTATATGTATTTTGGCTGGATTAGTTGTGCCTGATGGGCTTTATTATAAATCTCTTCTGTTTCTCCTCCATTTTATAGGGAGAGCATTAAATTGATTTTTTAAAAATTTGTAAGTTATCTATGAATATCACTTTAGTAGGGTACAGGGAGTAGAATATATTGTTATAAAAAGAGGACACTGGCTCCAGTCGGTTTGAAAATATTGATCTAAATATATTCATCCATCCCTCCCTCCCTCCCATAATCCTGTATCTGCTATCTTCCCTTCTTCCCTTTCAGCTAAACTTCAAAGTTGTCTTGACTTGACTACCCCATCGGTCTTCAGTCCTCTCATAATCTAACCTTTACCATCACTGTCCATTAAAATTGTGGCTGCAAAATTGTGGCTCTTAAATCCAACGGACACTTGAAAAAAAAATTCATTTTACCCGAACTTTCTACAGCATTTGACTTTATTACTTCCTTTTATTTGAAACTTCTGTCCTTCGTTTTCTGTGACCTCACCTCCATAATTTCCATTCCTCAAAGTATTTTGGAAGTCTCTGTTCTTCTGCCAGCTCCTTAAATGTTGGAATTCTCCCAAATTGCATGTAGCTGTCCTCTCATCGTACACTCTCTTCCTAGGCCATCTCAACCACTTCCATGATTTCAGTCACATCCTAGGATTCACAGATCTTCAACTTGCAATCCCAAACCCTCTCCTGAACTCCATCTCTCTCCCAAAATTCAACGTGTGAATTCCCAAATGGAATTTATTCCCTTTCTACCCATCTGCAATTACTCCTGTGTCCTATTCCAAATTAGTAGCACCACCATCCAGCCTCTCAACTCATAACCTGAGAGTCTGGATTGGCCTTTTTACTGTCTCTCCAACATCTTCTCCTTGACATCCCCACGGCCAGTGGGTCAGTTCAGGCTCTCATCTCTCATCAATTACAGCAAGTCTTTTAAC